CACGTGACATCCTTGTCTCTAAAAGGGAGAGACACGGATTTGATAGATGGACCACTCAGTGGATAAAGAACTGGCTGGATGGTCGCACTCAAAGAGTTGTGGTCAATGGTGCGATGTCTACATGGAGACCAGTGTCAATCGGTGTCCCTCAGGGGTCTGTTCTGGGTCCAGTGCTCTTCAACATCTTTGTCAGCGACATGGATGACGGCGTCGAGTGCACCCTCAGTAAGTTTGCTGATGACACCTAGCTGTGTGGTGCTGTGGACTCACTTGAGGGAAGAGATGCCATCCAGAGGGACCTTGATAGGCTTGAGAAATGGGCCAGTGCAAACTGCATGAGCTTCAACGAGTCAAAATGCAAGGTCCTTCACCTGGGTCAGGTCAATCCTAGGCACAAACACAAACTGGGCACAGAGTGGGTTGAAAGTAGCCCTGAAGAGAAGGATTTGGAGGTGTTTATAGATGAGAAACTCAACATGAGCCGGCAGTACGCTCATGTGGCCCAGAAGGCCAACTGCATCCTGGGATGTATCAAGAGAAGCGTGGTCAGCAGGTCAAGAGAGGTGATTCTCCCTCTCTACTCTGCTCTTGTGTGACCCCACGTCGAATACTGTGTCCAGTTCTGGTGTCCCCACCATAACAGACATAGATCTGTTGGAGTGTGTTCAGAGGAGGGCCACAAAGATGATCCAGGGGCTGGAGCACCTCTGCTACAAGGACAGGTTGCGGGAGCGGGAATTGTTCAGCCTTGAAAAGAGAAGACTTTGGGGAGACCTAATAGCTGCCTTCCAATACCTGAAGGGAACCTACAGGAAGGCTGGGGAAGGACTTTTTACAAGAGTGTCCACTGATAGGACAAGGGGAAATGGGTTTAAGTTGAAGGAGAACAGATTTAGATCTTAGAAAGAAATTCTTCAGTACAAGGGTGGTGAGACTTTGGAATAGATTGCCCAGAGAAGTTGTGGATGCCCCCTCCCTGGAGGTGTTCAAGGCCAAGTTGGACAGAGCCTTGAGTGGCCTGATCTAGTTGAGAGGCATCCCTGCCCATGACAGGGAGGTTGGATTAGATGATCTCTAAGGTCCCTTCCAGCCTATGTCATTCTATGATTCTATGAAAATTAATTTCCCCTTTATAGAACTGTGGCTTATTTAATCTCCAAGCATCTCTCTCACGCATAATATTAAGCGTTTGTATGTTATGTAAGTGTAGTGAAATAGATTGCTGAACGTGAGCTCACACGTATTGCATCATAACCAGACTGTGAATTCTACGGCAGCATGTGGATCTTCCTGGAGCATGCTCTGTAAGGCTTTGCATCCGCTCAGTTACCAATTATTTCTGTAAGAATTGAGGAATTCTTGCAGGATTTGTTGCAAATGACATAGTCCCATCTCCTTGTGCAGCAACTTAAAGCTATTCCCAGATGACAAATATGAGTAAGAGAGAGTACTAAGTACTTTGTGTGTTTGTCCTGGTATTCCTACTGAAAAAGAAGGAATACCAGTCCTCCAGGTATTTTCCTGACAGGTTGTTAATGAGCAGAGACATGAGAAATAAAATGGGGAGCAGGGCCAGTGAACTTTCTTGTTTTGCAACAGTTTGAAGCTGTTGAAGCTTTGTACTGGGGGTGTCAGCAGATCAGCTAGATTCCGAATGCAGTTGTTGGAGGTTGGGCTTGTAGCCAAACTATGAAGGATCATTTTTAAGGCTTAGAAAAGACATTTTAATAAACAGCCGAAGATTTGCACCAGCTTCTAGCAGAGCAAAGACAAAGCTGGTCTGCTGCAAAGGTGTTATCCCTGTCTTTGTGCTGATATTGATTTAGTTCTTTGATCCCAAACGTGTGCAGAATAGACTTACGCTCTGCATAGCCTGCAACTTAATGGGAATTCTTTAGGATTGTTCTAACATCCTGGGGTGTTGGGAGAGGGGCTGTGTGTGAACACTACCAGGTGTGTGATATAGGAAAAATAATTGGATATCTTCAAAAAGAATGGCAGAGGGCAGCTTTAAAAATTCATTTTATTCCTTCCATTGCTTATAATTAGGAATTCTTAAGGGAGACCTTTTTGGTTTGCCTGTCCATGTACCCCTCCTGCCTCTTTGAAGAATTGCTGCTTCTCCCCAGTAGGGAAATCTCTCAAGACGGGGGGAAAAAAAAGCACAAAAAAAACCTGGAAGGAGAATAGTACATTCTGAAAGAAGCAGGACTTTACGTTGCTCCCCAGTGTCTCATCATGCTCTGTCAACTCAATGTTACATTGACTTTGCTGACAGCTCTTGAAGAGAATCCTTGTTTTTCAGTGGAATTCATATTAGACGTGCATTATTCCACCAGTACTAAATACTCATGCTACAGAAATTCATGTTTTGTGAATCTCGTGTGCCAGCCACGAGAGAGAAGGAATAGTTACCCCTTGACCTGTGTCTGCATACTGAAGTGACTGCATGTAAGTCAGCCACTTCTTAACATCAGCCAGATGTTAATCTACACCATGCATTGGGCAACTCTGTGCAGTGGCATAGCTAGGCATGGTTTCATAAATGGCAACGCTGTGTGCTCTTCAACCAACATTAAAGGTTTGTTCTGTAACTGAGTGATGGATTACCCCGGTCTTTGCTGAGGACTTCTTCACTTGTTGGGCCTTTCATTTGGGCTATCATGTTTGAACGTTCTTCCAACCAACTATGAAATGGATTTTCTCCTTGCAGCTCTTACTTTACGTCACTGTTAACGCCATTAATTGGGGCTGTAGTCTGTGACCATTGTTGAGATGATGGTTTTTCACTGGTGAGAGTTCAAGAATAATTAAACTGAAGCTAGTTGCCAGTGAATTCTTTCATCCAAGAAATCCTGTTATCCTGATGCAGAAACTTCTGATAGAGTATGAAATGGATGAGAAGTGGTGGATGAGAAGCTCAACATGAGCCGGCAATGTGCGCTGGCAGCCTAGAAAGCCAACCGTGTCCTGGGCTGCATCCAAAGAAGCGTGGCCAGCAGGTTGATGGAGGGGATTCTGCCCCTCTGCTCTGCTCTCGTGAGACCCCACCTGGAATACTGTGTTCAGCTCTGGAGTCCCCAGCACAAGAAGGACATGGAGCTGCTGGAGCGAGTCCAGAGGAGGGCCACGAAGATGATCCGAGGGCTGGAACACCTCTGCTATGGAGACAGGCTGAGAGAGTTGGGGCTGTTCAGCCTGGAGAAGAGAAGGCTCCGGGGTGATCTTATAGCAGCCTTCCAGTACTTAAAGGGGGCCTACAGGAAAGCTGGAGAGGGACTTTTTCCAAGGGTGTGTAGTGATAGGACAAGGGGAAATGGATTTAAATTGAAAGAGGGAAGATTTAGATTGGATATAAGGAAGAAATTTTTCACTCAGAGGGTGGTGAGGCACTGGAACAGGTTGCCCAGAGAAGCTGTAGATGCCCCATCCCTGGCAGTGTTCAAGGCCAAGCTGGATGAGGCTTTGGGCAGCCTGGTGTAGTGGAGGGGGTCCCTGCCTATGGCAGGGCGGCTTGGAACTAGATGATCTTTGAGGTCCCTTCCAACCCAAACCATTCTATGATTCTATGAAATACACACTATTGATTTTTTTGTCTAATTGAAATAACTATTCCAAATCTGTCTAGCACATCCTCACTTCAGGTATTTATTTTTGCAAATACCTTTAACCTCATTTTATGACCCGTTGTATTGTTTTGCTAGTCGCTTTTCTCACAGGTTTGCAGTCCATACACAAATGGGCTGACTTGGCATGTGTTTGCAGATTGCTTACTTCTGTGTTTGCACTGAATAGTCAAAAGGATCTCTTGTCTTGTTTTTATGTGTGCTTCCGTGCTGACAGTATTCTACGTAGTTCTTTGTCTTAAAATACTTTAAAAACTGAGTTCTCCTTAATACTGAAATAAATCAGACCATTTCTTTATACCCAGAAATCTTTTTGGTTTTTCTGTGGGGTTTTCTGTTTACTTCTGCTTTTATTCAAAACGGGCTTTTTCAGTGCCAATGAAAAAAGCATAAAATGAACAGCTTTCCAGGTTTAACAGGACAGGCTAAGGATGAGTAGGAAATTAGTTTTGGCAGCATGCTGAGATGAACTGGTAACTTGGATTTTGTTCCCTTTTAGTCTGGAACAGCTCCACCACTGAGGATGGAAGTAGGATGCTAGCTGTTTGGCATTTTGTTATTTGCCAGAGAACTCACTAAGCAAGTGATGTTTTTCCAGCCAAGCCTCAATTTTTATAGTCAAGCCTGAGCTGACACAGATTTTTTTGTTTTAGTCTTATTGCTATGATCCAAGTGGCCAGTTGCAGATATTTTTAATGAAATCGTGTTGCTAACTTTCAATCTACAAGGATCGTTGAGGAAACTGTCATCTTACTTTACTGGTATTATACCAGTCCAGGCATGTGATGCACTGTCTCAACATGTTCACCATAGCTTTTAAGACAGGCACACACAACCATCTGTGGAGATCAATATCATACTTTCTTCCAAAGCTTGACCAGATCTGCTACAGTGTTTTGCTTCAGTACTGAGCTTCTTCAGTCTCATGAAATTGGGGTTTTTTGAGGAAAACTAGCGGTAAGAGTGTGCTGTGTTATAACAGGAGTTCCTGGGGATGCGTTTTGGAGAGAGGTTATGGAATAATAGACAGTATTTTGTCAGAATGCTCTCAAGCAAGCAAGTTGTTATAGGCTTGGAAACAAAACAAAACTTCTCCCTGGGTTTTCACAGGCAGTAGTCTTGCTTGGAATTCAGACTTACAACTTAGTCCACTTTTTGGGAGTGTTTTACATCTTGATAATTAGAATACATTAATCTTTTTTTTTTTTTTAATTGTTCCATCTTTTTTTCATAAAATGGATTTCCAGAAATGTGATCTGTTTTAAAAGTAGAATAACTAGAGTTGTTTAATGGTCATTCCCCTAAAAGCTTGTTTATGGTACTATTGGATTTTATGCTGTTTGTCTAATGTTTTCCCCCTCCCTCCATTTGCAGATCATCCAACAATCCTAAAGGTTGATGACAGGCAACGGCTTGCTAGAGAACGGAGAGAAGAACGAGAAAAACAGCTAGGTAAGGCCTACTACTGTATTCTGTTTTTTTATTGTTTGGAGTTTTTTTATGGACTATCATCTGTGTGCAATGTTTTTGCCAGTTTGCTTTTAGGAGCATTCAGAAACTGATTGTGCTAGATATTTTATTCTAGATACACTATTACATCTTTAAAGTAGAACTTTTAATTCATGCACATCTTGGGATTCATCATTGCTGTACTTGTCACATACCTATTACTTTGTGAATCTGAATGAAAAATGGGTTGATTTCTGAAATGATGCAAGGAAGCTTCACTGATGTAAATGGAATTTTCAAGCTTTGGAATATTTTTTATTTTTTTTTACCAATTAAGATTAAACTTCTTAGTATATTGAACGCATCATTTATTGCCATAAAATAGAATTGCAGAATATGTTGCTGATGTATGGTTTGAATTTTTCTACATAAACCTGGATTTCGGTCAGGTAAAACCCTTAGCAGATGTCAAATAAATATGCTCAATATGTTATAAAAAGTCACCTGTGCATGAGCATGCATAACACTATTCAAGTGAATAGTGAAGGTGAAGGTTATTTAACCAGCAGCTAGTGATGGGCAGTAAACTGAGTATGGTGAAGAGAGAATTATAGAATTATATGAAGCCAAATTGGTGGCTTTCTAAAAACTGTTTATATATTTGGCTGCCACAACGTTCTATGGCAATTGGGAGGCTGGAAAGCACAAGTGTTTCCTCTTACTTTTTACATGTTCACCTTGATTTCTTTGGATGCTGCATTGTTCTGGAGAAACAAATTCTTTATGTCTGTTTTCTAGCTTCTGTAAGTTTATAGAACTGTGTCATAACCCCAGCTAGAGTTATACTGCTTTTTCTAACCTGGAAAGCCATGATTTATTGCTATCTAGGTCTTAATAGCATTAATATCCTTCTTCCTTTGCAGCACCTTATAACATTGTACTAGCCATGCATGAATCACTAGGGCTGTTTTGGAGGGGAAGAAGAAAGCTTTGGCTTTGACTTGCCCAAGGAGATAACGTGTCATGGTGCTTGCGAGTCCCTGAAAAGCTGCTCGTGGAGTTGAGGATGATGGTGTGTGTAGGCTTAGTTTCTTCAGGTTCCAGAGCAAAGGGAGGTCACTGGCCCATTTTAATGAATTTGTCATAGATGGCACTTCCATGTCTTGAATTTATTCTTTTTTCGGGTTTGATCCTTGTGTAGTAACAATGCTTTATTGAAGTGCAGAGAGAAATACTTTCCTTAAGTTTCCCTGAACTCTGATTATTCTGGCTATTGATAAATGAATATCTGTTGCTGGAACAATACGACTTCTGTTGAGAACTGTCATTTTGTGTGACATATTTTAAAAGCAACATCAAACTGTAGAGGTTTTTTTAAGTTGACATAGAATCCTTCATTCCTAAGTGGGAGAGTTCTGCATGTCCCCGTGATGTATGGTGTTGGTGTAGAGTGTGTTGTGTGTTCTTGCATGAAAAATTATTTTGAACTAACAAGAAAATTGAAAGTCATGCTGTACTTTCATCTGTGTATTTGTCTTCTAACATTATGATTTAGGACCTGTCTCTTGAGATTTGTGTTCCAGTACAACAAAGCAATGATTTTTACAATGGCATGCAAGCCTCTTTTTTTTTTTTTTTTTTTTTTTTAGTGCAGAACCTAGATAATCAGTCACTCATGTCATGTGAACCATAGTAAAGAAATGCCTAAGCTGTCTATCTTAGACATTAAGTTGTATAATGTTGTTACATAAATGTGCCTTGCTGAAAATTAGAGTTGGATTTTGTTAATACTGGGACATCAGCCACGCAACAGTAAAGCAACTGAAGGAAGGAATTATTTTTTTTGTAGAATTAAGTTGGATTTAGACTGAATTCCTCTCTTTTTGATTGAGGGGATCTGTCGAATTTAGCAAAGACTTGTTTTTAAGCAGAAGTTGAGAATTTCAGCCATACTTCAAGTGAAATTATTCTCTGCTGCCAAAAAAAAAAAAAAAAAAGACTGTTTTCTTCTGTAGATGTAGAGCTGGTAGTAATCTGTAACAATTTCATTTTGTACTTTCAGCCTCTTGAACTGCAGGAGGTCACATTATCTACCTTTTCATGAAAATTAGCTTGTTTGACCCTTCTGTTGAGATCATGTAGAGTACCAGTTTAATAATGATTATGTTTCCTTAAGGAATATTCTAATGTTACAGGGGAGTTGATCTGAGACTTTCCCCCCCCATCCTCCCTTTTGTTTACTCTCAAGCTTTAATTTTTTTTCAAGTTCTGCTGTGCTGTGATAGATGTGGCTTTCTCTGGTATAATGGGTCGGTATGTGCTCTGCACTTTTGAGGATTTGCTTGCACCTGGCAGTGGTATTTTAGCAGTCTCATTTTACTTGCCACCCTTGGGTGTCTACCTCCTCTCTTTTTAATGAGAGTTTAGACAGTAGAAAAGACGAGTGCTGTCATTTTTGTTGTCTGGATACTTATATGTGTGGTGGGACTGTTGGCATTTGCTGTTTCTTGAGGATCATGTTATGCTACTTAATTGAAAAAAATAAAAAGGCTTCTACAATAATGCCCCTTTCACCTTTGTATATTCATGTCCAATTTTGGAACTTTCTTTAGAAAACGTAAAAGGGACACATATGCTATTTCAGCTAATTAACCCATCAAGAAGGAAGGATTTTTTGGTTCCTTCACTGTAGGAAAGGCATTGCTTTTGAAATGCCATCCTAACATGGTGATGGCAGGTGAGGGAGATAGCTGTCAAATGGGGGTGTTCTCAGAGGATGGAGTGAAGGGAGCTGTCACATTTCTCATGAATAGTTTCAACATGATAGATGGCCTGGTCAAACTGGAAAAGTTAAATAAAAGCTTCTGCTTTTTCAGTAGGGAGGCTTCACCCTTAACTCTGCCATATTGGTTGTTTTGGTTCTGGCAAATTAAACAGCGCTGAAGAGCGTTCCCTGGTGCTGAAACTCAACTGTTCTTGCTATTAAACTGTTATGATGGATCCTGACAGAGTTTTGGCTTTAGCCAACTAGCTGTCTCCTCACTGATTCCCAGACAAAGTCTGGGAATTGGCAGGGGAGGGCCATAGATTTTTCCTCATGTGTTGATTGAGTACTGTTGCCATTTTGGAGGGCAGAAGTTTAGTAGCACAGGTGAAAGTTGTTCCATGCCAGTTGGTCTCTGGCCACATTCCATTTATTAGCATAGACCTGGTTCTCCATAACTGGAAATAAAAAATCAAAATGTGTTTTTCAACAGAGAAAGTTACTGGCAGAGGTTTTAAAATGAGTTTCATTCTGGTAGCCTTAGGTAGTGGCTTGGCAAAGAGGAAGAGTGGGGGATTTTTTGCTTTCACTTCACCTTATCTCAGTCCCTGATTCTTGAGAAAATAATTTTTAAGTCTTACATCTGTGCATGGTTTATCTACACTAATCCCGCTTTGAAGGCTGACCTTTTTTTATCACAATTATCATTCTGACAAGGACACATGACACATTTAGTTTCTAGTATTGGAAACAAGAGATGGTAATCCTGCCATCTGACTTAACTTGTCATTTAAGGAAATGTGTTATTAATCTTAGTTTTCAGAATATGTCTGAGTTTCCAGTTGGCTAAGTCCATTGAATTCTTAATACTTACAATGTATAAGTATTAAAATAATATTTTAAGGATCAAATTATGATACGTATTCCTCTCTCATTTGAAAGTGATCATTGACAAAATATCACATCAATAAAAAATACAATTTTTTTTTTCTGTCAGTGAATTCCTTCTGGCTTATTCTCTTCTCTGGCAGCTGGGGACAGAACTTTATTCAACGTTTCCACAGCCAGAATCCCTACAGAAACTGGGAATCGGTGACCCTAGCATATGTAGCATTTTGGGATGCCCTCGGGGGACTTGAGTGTCAGAAGGGCTTATAAGACAAGAAAACAGTTTCTAAGGAAGACTAGTTTAAAAATTTCTGTGCTGAATGTCCCTCAGAGCATAGTTACTGGGGAAAGGTTGGCTTAGAGAGTCTAACATTAACTTTGGCTTTAACACAGGTCTGAAGTTCACCTTTTAATTCATTCAGTCAGCCATTTCTGTGGCCTGATGGAATGTCCCCAGTTTTAGGTACAGTTAAAGCATCACTGATCCATTTTTCTGCTAATGCAGTGAGGAGGCCATCACAGTCTCAGACAGTGCAGAGCTGACAGCGAGGAAAGGTGGAACAGCGAGCGGTCAGAGGAGAAAGCTATTGCTGAGATCAGTGCTGTAAAGTCAGAAAAGAGAAAGGCTGGGAAAATTGATAAAGACCGTAGGACCTTTACTCAGGTAAGCTGTCCGTCCAAGGTGGGTGCAAAAGGCAGACTGAGAAAGTGCGGTGCTAGAATGATTTGCCTTTAGATAGGCAGTAAACCAGCAGAAAAAGGACTAACGTGAAGGGACAGAAGAAGGGACAGCAAAAGAGGAGCTGGGGGAACCTCTCCTTGCTTCACACGGACAAACAGAAAATAGAGATTTTGACACCTAATGCATGCTCCCCTTCCCTCACTGCCTGAAACCTCTGCAAAGATGGGCTTTCTGTCAATGTGCGTGACTGGGCAAAGAAAACTACAAAATTATTTCCACAAGAAACATGCATGATTTGCAGTCGACATCTCCCACGTTAAATCAATTAATTCCAGTGTAAAACTGATTGGTTTCAAGTCTTACATGTCTCTTAATATTAGAACGTTTCTTTCTTGATTGACTTTGTTTTCTTTTGCTCTGTCATTCACTTCAGAGGTGCCAGAAATACAGCCTTAATTATGTTGCCTTGTAATCTAATCCAGCATTACTAGTTTGCAAACAAGCAGAAGGTATTAACAGCATGTCCAGTGCTCAATTTCTAAATCTCGTTTTTATGCTCTAATTTTGTGTCCTAGTATCACATGACTGTTCAAATTTATAGATTGTACTAACTAATGAGATAAACAAAGATCAGGTTGTGACTTTTCTTTGTATTTTCCAGCTTTAATG